CCTCCTCCTCCTCCTCCTCCTCCTCCTCAGCATTACAAGAATGAAGCCTGCATTCTGTCCATCACAAAGCATCTCTAACCCCATGAGCCAGGGCCAACAAAGCAGACTCAGATTTAAGCTCTGCTCCGCTCCCCTGGCTCTGGGTCATCATTATCCCTGGAATACCATCAAACACATGCAAAATGAGCCCTCAGTATCCCTCCCCATTTGCTGAGGTGTGGACTGAGGGTCTTGGGCATGCTAAGGCACATAGTCTTCCACCGAGCTAAACCTCCAGGTTGAATCTAGAGGTCAGGGTTAGTAGCTCTGTGGTGTGTTTATTGGTACCTGTAGATAAAACCACCTTTATTTTACACAGCAATGTGACACCAGTCAGCTGTCTGTCAATATTATGATTTCTCTTCCATTCTGCCCTGCTCCACTCACCGGGGAGCTCAAAGCCACAAGAGTGCAACTGTAATAAGGGAAGTCTAGCTGGGGATGGGGGGCTCACATTTGCAGGCCCAGAACTCAGGAGGCTGAAGCAGGGGAATCAGAATTTGAGGTTTAACTGCATGAAACCCTCTATTTCATCAAAGGGGGAGGGGGGACTCTCCACTTGTGGGTGTTAGCACTGGTGTGGGAGGGGGGAAACTCCTTCTCTCTCTCTCTCTCTCTCTCTCCCTTCCTCTGCCTCCTCCTCCCTCTCTCTTTTCTCCTCTCTACACTAAGGGACAAATATTTACTTACGGTAAATATTTTGATCTCTATGAAGCAAAGATAACACCCTAGCAGGGTGAACCATCTAGCTTGGACTGATCTCCACCCCATTATTCACTTCCTCCACCTACTTCCGGCATTGCCCTCTTCCGAGGTAAACAGACCCAAGCTTTGGGGGGCCCTACAAGAGAGGTTTTAAAACCCAAGAGAAGCAAAAATTCTTGATGCTCTGCTTAATGAATTTTTGCCTCCAGGATACATAATCACCACTGTTATCCAACAAAACATGGGGTATCTTCATGGAGTGCTCCAGAAAGGTCCCTTTCCTGTCTCCCGAGAAGTACGGAGAAATTATAACCTAGTAATTCCAAAGCATTCTGTTCCAGCGGGATTCAACTCTCATCAACCCACCAAACATAGTAAGGGGACAACTTTCTTCTTATGGATTACTTTTAAAATCCATGTGGGGACTGGCCAACATAGAAAGTCGCAGGCCAGCTAGGGCTAGACTGTGGACAGGTCTCAAAGAGGAAAAAAAAGTGAATGTGGAAACTCCAAGTGCCTAACAAGTAAACACTGCTTTTTTTTTTTTTTTTTTTTTTTTTTTGAGGATAAAACCCAGGGCCTTGAGCATGCTAGGTGAGCACTCTACCCGAGTTATATACCCAGTAAAGAAATGGGTTTGTTTTTTGTTTTTTTTTTTTTTGATGGCACATCTAGAGGATTAAATACTGCAGAATTGTCAAAGCCAGGATTTTGAAACATATTTAGTGACACTGGGAAATGTTCTTAATTTAAGATGAACTTTAAAGAACAAAATACCAAAAGTCACACAAGATTGGATTTTGAAATACACTTGTACACAGAAAAAGGGGCAGCAGACACAGGACGGAGATTAAGCTTTGGAAACTTCCATGGCAGTTTATGGGACAGGTTTTAGTTTCTTTGTAGTATTCAATACTTCTCCAAGTCTTGACGGTTGGAATGAGTTGCTCTGTGCATCCACAGGAGGAAGAAGCTGTGTTTTGAGTACAGGCACTACCTAAACGAACAGCACTGCTGGAATCCATTTCTTAGAGCCTGACAATCCCGTTCAATTATTTTATGTAATTCGTAAGCACTACTTAGAAACTGCAGCAACCTGGGAAGCTCACTGTGGCCTGGGAAATGCAAGTTTTCAAACAAGCTTGGATGCAGAGCCCTGGCGACCGAGCATAGGAAAGGGAGATCAAAAACTAGCTAGGAACAGTGGCTGCAGACTGTAGACCGTGGGCACCGAGAGAAGGAAGTTTCTGTCCCGTTTTCTATTTGTGTGGTGGTGGCGGGTGTGATCTGGGGTACAACTTTATTTTTGTTTCGTTTTTACTTTGACTTTTTTTTTTTTTAATGACCAAAAAGTTGTGGAAATTTGCTCTGTTGTGTGTAGTCTGCATCTTCCGGGGGAAGCAGTTAGGATGTTTCTCTCTAAACCGGTTTCGGCAGAAATGATGGTGCCCAGCACGGTAAATGCCTAACCTTGATAAACGCCTAACACTGATGAACGCTTAGCACCGAAAAAACACAAAACCGGCCAAGTGCCTAATTTAAGACACGTTTTTACACGTACTTTTTCCAATTAGACTAATTTGTCGCGTATCGAATTATGTCTCCTCCATAGCACTGGGCTGGGGGAGGATGGGAACGGAACAATAAATTAAAATGGAAAAGCTCTCTCAAAAGCCCCTCCAACACGACGTCACAATTAGGAGCCCCCCTCCCGGACTGGAATGAAATCCAGTGGCCTGATTTCGTCGGAAGATAAATTACGAGAAGTGAACTTGACCCTAGTCCTCCCCACCCCCTAAACTCCCAAGGTCAAGACAAAGGGAGAGGGGCTGGCTTAATTCTTTCCCGGCCTGGAGAGCCAAGGTTGCCGGGGAGAGGATTAAAATAACCAGCCCTTTGTCCCAAGCATATCTTACGGCAGGTAACTGGGAGAGAAAGCATCAACAACATTATCCGGATAATTCCCTCGGGCCACTAACCATTTGCCAGAAAGGACTTGCCTCCAGGCATTTTTCTCTAGTCCTAAATGGAAGGGCTGGAAGCTTTGCATCGGTTGACGGGATCTGGCGTCTCCTTAGTGGGCCTTGGGAGGTTCCTGGAAGGGACTCCTGGGCACGGACCCCATCCCAGCCACATCAGGCCTGCAGGCCAGCCCGGCTCTCCCCGCCCGCAGCTCGCCCGGGGCCGCCTTCTACCCCCGTATTCCACAGTCAGTAAACATCCCCTCGACCTACCGCAGACGCCTGCTTGCCTTGGGGTTCCAGGATCAGGAATTCCTAAAACTAAATTTAACAGAACAAAGCAATCACAGCTACTACCAGTTTCAAAGGCCGCTCGCCAGTCCCCGGCCTCCGCTCTCTGCAGGTCTCTGAGCAAGACGCGCTTTTCCCGGGTCCCCCGGTGCAGCGGCCGAGGTTCCCCCGCGGGAAGAGGGAGACTCCTGGTTGCCCGAGCTTCCGCATCCTGGTCCCGAGTCGAAGATCGAGCACCCGCGGGGTTCGGTTGTCGCTCTGCGGGCTGCGGGGACCCACGCGGCGGGGACTGGGAAGGCAAGGACCGCGCGGCAGGGTGACCCACCTCTGATCGCGCGCAGGCTGGAGCTGTTAATCCTTTGTTATTTATGCACGTGTTTATCTTGATCGCGGGAAAGATACTGGGGGGAGGGAGGGTGCTAACGGCCTAACCCAAGGTAAACTACCGGGAACAGAGAGTGTTCAAGATTCCGCGGAGTCTAACGCACCGCCTCGCTTGCTCTAGGGCCTCAACGGTTGGGTGTTTACACTCAGACCCCGTACGTTTTCGCCGAAGACAAGGACCACAAGTTCCTGTAATAAAGCAACGGATGGTTTAGTGGGAGAGGCCAGGTCTCTAGCGTTCCGGGTCCTTCCATAGCCCCATCCTCTCTTTCCCCCTCCACCCGCTCGGCTTTCTCGTCTCGCTCCCGAAGAGCTAGAGGAATGTTTACAGCTTGGCTCAAGTTCAATGACAAAACCCTGCTTGGAGGGGGAGGGGGAGCGAACTTAAACCATTGCACCAGACAAAGGCTGGGCGCAGGTCTCTGGCAGGGAGCGCTGGGGGGTGGGGGTAGGGGTGACATAGGCTGGACTCGCCTAGGGTCAGTGAACTGTGAGGGCCCTAGGATGGGTCCGAACTCCGCTTTCCCGTGTCTCAAGCCTTACAGGATTGCTACGCAAAAGTCTGTCTGAGTGGAGCGGGGATGGCCAGGGGGGTTATCTAATCAGCGTCAGGCTTTGCCCTGGCATCCAGGCCCCTGGAAGATACCCACCCCAGACCTCTGTCCAGAGAGGGAGCTTTTACACTGGTCTCCTCCTAGGACCTGCAGTTTCCCGCCTCTTCTGAATTGTTCCTCACCCATTTCCTCCCGCTTTCGATATTCCGAGCACCTTTCCAGGTCCTTCTGGAACAGGGCCTCTCCCGGAAAACCTCTCCGGATGCCAGTGTATGTGTCTCCGTCCTGTTTTCCATTTGTCCTGACTGTAATAATTTGCAAAGATGTCCCTCTCCCTCACGGTGCAGAGAACATAGACTGTAGTCCTCAGGCCTGGGGGATGCCAGCCCAAGAGCTGGCCGCGAAGCTAGGCAAAGCTAGGAGACAGGCTTTGTCCTTCCCAGGTATCTTTTTCCGAAGCTTTGCACGCACTAGGGGCTTGAAATGAAAACTTGGTTGAACTAAATTGCCCCATGTGTTTAATCCCGTGGTGCTCACACTTAGACAGATCTGCCCAGTTTCTTAGTGAGGCAGGGTCTAGGGTGTTTGGAATGCACCTACCCTCTGTGACCTGGAATAGAGGGCACCAGGGGGAAGCAGGTGTTTCTAGGGAGAGAAGTTGGTTGGTGGTAGGAAAGAGCCTGGGCTTCTTCTTCTGTCAGTTGGTAAACACCAGGAGCTTAGAAGTTAAAAGATGCCCCCACCCAGATCCTGTCATTGAGGCACAAATAAAATAACTCACAAGGTTGTCTCGATTTCTTTATTTTACGAAGTGTCACTCCATAGGGACTTTCAAGGTGAATGAAGGACAGTAGCCCCAGAGGAACAGTAGAGAAGTAGCCAGGTGGGGTTTTCTTGTTTTGTTTTGAGGGGGGTATTAGCAAGTCTTCAGGTGCCTGCAAATGAACTAGCCCACCCAAACTTTAAGTCAGCAGCAGGAGGTCTGAGGGGGTGACCCGCGCCCCAATGTCCCGTGATGTCCCACGATGCCTCACGATGCTCCAGGACAGAAAGGACTGGGCACTTGAGAACTGCCCAGGGTGATGGCACCCCTGGCAGTTGCTCCTCAGAAGCTCCCAACGAACGTCTGAGAGAGCATTTCGGAGGGGAGGGGAGCCAGAGGCCCAGGGGATAGATGCAACACCTCCCTCTTGCTTTTTGTTAACGCTTCAGTCAGTCAGAAAAATCATTACCCTGGTTAACTTTTGTCTAGTTTTCAATACAGGCATAAAATGTTTTAAATACAAGTGACAAGATCAACAATATTTTTTTTTTCCCTTGCCAAGATTCCATCCAGTCAAAGACAACCATAAAGCCACATGCCTGGGATACTGTCCTCACCAGTAAGCCTCTCCCAAGCCCAGACCAAGAACGTCCCCCGCATACTTCGAAGCATTTTCTTAGTGACTTTCAGCCCAAATGACCATCCCTCTCTCCAAAAGCCAACAAGAAGAAGTCACTGACAGGTTGCCTCTGAGAGAAGTTTTGGGGCCTCCCCCCCTTATTGCAGAGACCTCCAGTGTCCCCAAATTCTCGAGCAACATTCTTGCAGGACTTCTTAGAGGCAGGTCCCAGGTCGATACATAGGAAACGCACTCAGCCCATGAGTTAGTTGTTTACCTTATTAAAGAGAAACTCTTGGAAGCAGAAAGGTGGGGGGCACTGAATAACACTCTTGACCCCTCTGCAAAGGTGGTGATGGGCATCCAGTTGCTCCTAGGCCCCGGAACTCTGCAGACATCTGCCTGAAGATTTCAGCTTCCCAGCGATTCGCACTCCTTAAGGCTTGGAGAGGAACCCGAGCTACCGCTGCCCCGGATGCTCTGCTCCTTGCTAAGTCTGGGGCGAGGTTAAATCAGTAGCGCTCCGTCTTACAGCTTCAAGCCCAGAGAGAAGTTTGGGGACGATACTCCGATACTCCGATACTCCGTAAGCTTCCTCAGGTCTGTGGCGATTTGGGGCAGCGGCTTCCAGCAGGTCTCTGGAACCGACTACGTGCCACCAGCAGCCCCAACTGGGCCTCCTTCCTTCTCGAGACCAGAGAAGTGCGTTTCCCCCCTCTTTCTCCTCTCGCCTACCCCTGCTCCCCCCACCCATAAAGCATTTAGTAGAGTGGGGGTGGAGGGAGTGGAGACCACCAGCCGGGATCTTCAAGTTCAATGGCAATGACCCTCCCCACAGACTGGGCGCAGGCAGTTGCTCCCTTCCTCTTCCCATAATTCTGGGGGCTACTGCATTCTTTTGCAGCTCCTCCTGTTTCAGGGGCAATTTAGGGGAGCCTAGGGGTAATGATGGCATTCTTTCTCTCATGTCTCCGACAACTCGGTGTCCTCCCCCCCCCCCGCAGCCCCCATAACTGTTAGCCGAGAAAGGAAGACAGGCTGGCATCTGTTCCCCATTGGATGTTTTAAATCTCTCTGCAAGCCCCGGCCAGAGCCGGGAGGGGGGAGGGTGCCCCGCTCTTGGGCAGGAGAGGTGGGCGGCTCCTGGCCTTTCTCTTCTCCTGCCCAGAGACTGTTCAGGTGGGTAAGCCTAAGGTATAAATGTCTTTCAAAAACGACTGGAATCTCCTCCCTCCGTCTTCTGCACCGCAGCCGCCTGGGCGCTTTATGGCAAATTTACGGTAACGAGTTCATTTATTTAATTCGAGATTGTAGCTCTGGGGTTCCTATTAGACTGAGGTGGGGGTGGGGCACGGTTTCCCCCGAAAGAAACCTAATTAAAGTGCAGCACTTAGAACCTTGAATAAAACTTTAATGAAGGAGAGGAGGGGAGCGGGGAACCCGCTCTGCGCTGGGGGAGGGGAGCCAGCAACCCTTCCGAGATGGATGGGGGGAGCTTGCTTGTGAGCGCTGCCTTTGAGCAAACCCCAGTAGTAGAATGTGGAGGAGAGGTAAAATAAATTTTCATTCCACAGCAATCCTACCAGGGTTCTCCCACCTCCCCAACCCCCGGAAGTGCTTGCCAGCAGGAGTAAAAGGCCGGAACTTGGGAGCCTGGGGGTCATCCTCCGCTTTGCTGGGGTTGGGACCTAGATTCAAAAGAGCTTCCGGAAATCCTGTCTATACACTTTCCACTATCCCCTCATTGGATCTCTAGAGGCCTAATCTAATCCACCTGCTTAGCAGTTAAAGGTGATAATCGTGCCGGGGACGGTGTAGACGAAGAAGCTACATTTGGATCCAGTTTCGTGGCTGGCTGAAACTCTAAGCCGGAGGAAGTAATACGCGTGGGAGAGGAGGGAAGGGTACACAGAGCTGCTCGGAGTAAAATTTCACCTTGTTGATGAAAAGGCTCCCTTTTAATAATAAAAAGTTATTCTCGGGATTTATAAATGTGTGTGTGTGCCCCGGGCAATTTGTTTGCCCTTTGATCCTGTAGTCTGAAGTTGTGGTCACACATTTTTCCTCCGTATTTTCAGGAAGAAACAAAATCCCTTGTATCTTTTGTTGCTTCAAGAATTTCTTACTGAAAAGGGAACAGCGGCAGGTGGGTCAGGGTAGACACAGGCATTTTGTTGTATGTTACACATAAACAGCTGAGCGGTGTCGATGTGGTCGGGTCGGTGGTGGTTGGGAATAATTCGCTTTGTAAAATACGGTTGAGAAGGGTCCCCTAAAATGACTTAATAAAAAAATGAATTAAATGTGTCTTGTATAGGTTCCAGACAAGTAAGGAAAAAAGAAATAGGAAACCCGCCGCCAGCGGTGATGTTTGGAGGATAAATTTATTATTTCCACGTAACCAAGAGGTGGACGGAAAGGTGGAATGCGCTCACGGCTTTGCCTCTTCTTCGCCTTTCCTGTCCTCCTCCGGGGCACATCCGAGGCTAGACCTACACATCTTCTGGAATTCCGGGCGCCTTGGAGTCCTGAAGCTTTCACAGGCCTAGAACCTTCAAACCCCGGGGGCCAGAGGTCCCAGGCTGTTGCAAGCCGGAAGCTGTGGGGTGAGAAGGGGGCTGGAGAATGAAAGCCTCGGGCGGGCGGCCGGTTTCCTGAAATGGCAAATGTCTACCGGAAGGGGGAGCGCTTGTCTTCTTAATAGTTCAATCATGTTGGTGGCGGAATAAATCTCTTAAAACCCCCAAATCTTTTGTCTGCTCTGAAATTAGTACCAACGAAAAGTAAAGGAGCTCTGAAATTTTAAGCCCCTTAGAGCAGAAGGGTGAAGTTAGAGCCCAGGAGTCCAGAACCTTCACCGGTCCTTGACCCGTCTGTTCATTGAGACAGCAGCCAGTCTTGTAGCCTAAGTGGGGGTCACATACCTCAGTGCCCCGGCACACTTCCCACATTCCCATCTGCGCTGAAGCCTCACACTCCTTTCTGAAGTTGGCCAGGGAAGGGTTTGCCCACTTTGGTCAGGTTTGGATAACATTACAAAAGGAGTTAAGAACCTATAATTCCAAAAGCTATCCCAGCCAGGCAGCACTCCGGAGGCAGGCTGATCTCTGTGAGTTCGAGGCCAGCTTGGTCTACAGAGCGAGATCCAGGGCAGCCAGAGCTAAGAGAAACCTTGTCTTGAGGGGGTGGGGGGGAAGCTATCCTTCTAGTGAGTAATGTGGAAAGCAGAGAGTAATCTGAGCAGAGTTCATAACCTAACCTGGGGGCTTAGACTGGACCATGGCGGGAATGGAAAGAAATTTCCATCACAACGGACGTCTCCTTACAACTCTGAGGGGCACATGTATTCTGTCCTCCAAGAAGAGGTGGTGTCTCTCTCCCTCCTTTTCCCCAATCTTGACTTTTTAAACTAAAAATAATAATAAGAAGAAAACATGGTTTGATGTAGCTCAGACTGGGCTGGAACTCACTCTGCCCAGATGGCTTCATCTCAAACTTTCTGCAATCCCCCCTGCCTCAGCATCCCACGGCTGGACTTAGAGTCTTGTATCACCATGCCTAACTCCTGGCTTCTTCTTGGTAAACATAGAAGAATCTGAGCAGCTTCCCCCTCATTCTTTCCTGAGAGAGGAGCCAGGTCTGGAATCCCACCAGGCCACAGGAGGATGCACTGGATTCCCTTGGCTGCAGCAGCTCACCCATGGTTTCTTGGAGAACCATAAACCCTTTTTGGGGAAGGAAAAGCCCATGAAGACACTGGCCACTACCCACTACTCGATAGCTACCCAACTCAATGCAGCCGCATCCATCCAGCAGCCTCTCCGGCCTTCAGGAAAGGTGCTGGATTACAGAGCGCCTCCACTCAGCCCAAGGATTAGTGACCGAGGTAACCTCGCTGGCTCTGCTGAGCAGGGTCCCTGTTTAGTTCTACACCCCGCCATAGTGGGTCCAAGTACATCAGGAAAGAGACCCTCTCTGTGTCTATCTTCTGCAAATAACCACATTCCTCCGGGCTTTCCAGGGTTTTGTATTATGTCCTGGTCATTGGTGCCCTTGGGCACCTTGTGTTCAGGGACCCCAGAGCCAGGCAGTGAAAAGGCAAAGAGGCCACTTTGGCGCTGGGTGTCCAGAGTCCCTCCACCCTGATCCTGGGTCTCTTCACTTCCTCCAGGTGCTCTCCTTCTACATAAGACGAAAAAAAAATTTTTTTAAAGTCTTCCCCTTCTTCCAGGCCTAGGGCAGAGAAGTTCCTCCAGCATTAGGAAAGGTAAGGAAAGGTGGGGAAGGGGCCATCTATTCTTTGCTGGTTTCCTTTCTTGTCCCATATTCTAGTGTGTTTTTAAAAGGCCTGAAAATAGGGTGGGACAGTGCCCTTCCCTGTAACCACTGGGCCTGAAAGGAGCCTTCACAACCACCACGTATGACTGACTATTGCATGTGGTTCCTAAATGCCCAGCAAATCCTGGTGGGGTCAGGCCCACCAGGAGAGCTCAGCTCTCTCATTTTTCAAGAGAAGTGGAGTTTGAGAGAGTACCCAGGGAATTAACTGTCCTGCCAAGTCCTCTCTTTTAATTCAGTTCTGGTGGCTCTGACCCAATCAGGCTACTGGTCTCATGTTCACATAACTGCAAAATCTCAGCATTTGAGACGGGGCTTCCCACTGGATACAGCCTAGGAGGCAGGCAGGGAATATGAGACCAAAGGAAGAGGTGGGTAGGGAGGAGGGAGGGAGATGCATCCATTATTAACATGGTCTGCCCTGCACAGCTGTGATCTCAGAAAAAAAAAAAAAAAACGCCAAGTGCACATCGCATGTATACCTTAGAAGGGTGAATCTGCCTCCCCCCCCCCCGCCCCATTCTCCCCCCCTCCCCAGCCACTGGAATGGTGGCTGGTGCACACAGAAAGGGGGTTGAGAGGAAACTGTTCTACAAAAAGATCTTCTTCCACATTTATTCACAATCAGCTCAACTCATGAAAGCGGGTTCTAAGCGCTCTACAGAGCTCTAGATAGAAAATATGAAACTAATTATCATGGCAACTAGTGCTGGTTATGAGATTATCATTGCCGTTAGGATGAATGATTATGACTGACACAGGTTCTCTGGAACCCGGGTGGAGTGGACTGTCATTTCAGGCCTCACACTCCCGACACATGCAGGGTGGCCCCTGAGGAACAGTCCATAACTCAGTAGCCTGCTGACGGTGTCATCTCTGGGGGTCCCTCAGCCGAGTCCTCTGCCAGTCCCGGCCCTGGCAGGCTCCCAGTTTCTCCAGGACAATCCCTCTTCCCCTGCCCACCCCCTCTGGCGTTCACGGGGTAGCGCTGGTCTTGACCTTGGCGAGAACCTTTTTCTCCTTGACCCGGCGGTTCTGAAACCAGATGGTGATCTGGCGTTCAGAGAGGCTGGTGGCTGCCGAGATCTTGCGCCTCTTGTCCTTGGTGATGAACTTGTTGGCGGCGTACTCCCGCTCCAGCTCCCGCAACTGCCCCTTGCTATAGGGAATGCGTTTTTTGCGGCCGCGGCGGAAGGCACAGCCGTCAGGAGGGTGCTGGGTGTTGGGCTCTGCGTGGTGCGAAAAGGAAGGAGGGAAAGGCATGCTCAATCAATCCCCTCTCTAGTGCCAAACCAAGCCGACCCAGGCCCTGCAAGCCTCAGGGCTACGTCATCCTGCAGGCGCTTCCTGATCATCCTATGCGTGGGCTCTGCGCCCCCAAAACACACAGGGATACTGCTGGATTCTGCCTGATTCTGGGATCGCCACTCACTCAGCCTCTGTTGGCCATCCCCACCATCCCTGACCTCACATCGGGACTCTGCAAACACACCCACCCTGTCAGGGTTTTGTCCACAATCACACAGTCCAGTCTCATGCATTTTCAGAACTCAGCCACTCCTACTGATTTCATTGGCAAATTATGTACAGGAGAAAACAGGTTTATGTCCCCCATTACACACACACACACACACACACACACACTCCCGAAACACACCCTTCAATACACCACCCAGCCGAAGAAAACCTACATTTTCCTTTCGAAATTGAAACCTCATCTAAGAAAGCAAGTGGCTGTATTCTCTAAGAAACACCCAAGAGCCCATCCCACCCACCGCTCATCGCCACCCTCAAAACCACTAAATTATGTCATTTGGCCTTTGTGTAGAATTAGACTGAGGTTGTGCTGGGACACTCAGGCCCCAGTCAACAGCAGAGGTCCAAGGTTCTCCCGACATATTGAAAGGCTGCTCCTAGAGCCTCAGGGGTAAGAGGAGAGGGGAAGCTACCCTCAAGATGCAGCTAGCGCCCTGCTGAAGCCCCTCATTCCGACCCTCTGAGACCTCCATCCAGGCCCTCTAGCTGCCTGGACCCTCCTTCAAAGTTCTAATGAGCAACCAAGGAGCCCCGGGCTCCTCCTCACCAGCCCCAAGTCTCCCTCCTTCTCCTCGAACCTCCTTCCAAGCAAGTGCCGGCGTAGCCCGTGCTCAGAGCCAAGGGGAGCCACAGTAGGAGTTACCTGCAAATGCCGCTTTCCAGAAGGGACCCGGTGGGTTCTGTTCACCTTGGCAACACATCTGGCTGTTCCAGCCACCGGCCAGGGCCCACGGCTGGTAACTGTCCACAGGCAGCAGAGAGTCGTGGCGAGGCTCCCCGGGGGCTCCCAGGGTCTGCACCACGGACACATCCAGGTAACTGGCCATAGGCTGGTAAGGTCCCGGGTAGCCCGGATAGAAGGCAAACTCGGTGGGACGGCTGGTGTACTCCTCCCCGGGCGCAGGAGTTTCCGAAGGGTAGGTGGCCAGGGTGGCAGTCTGGGCACAGGGTTTCAGTGAGCTCCTGGACACTCGGCAAGAGTAGTACCCGCCTCCAAAGTAGCCATAAGGCACAGGAGCTGGAGATGCCCCCTGGGGCACCCCAGGACAAGGGTGGCACTGCTTTGGTGGCTCCGCAGAGCCTGGCAGATCCAGGGGCGCATAATTGACAGCTGGCATCAGCGTTGGCGCCGCAGGATGGTTAGCCAGTGGGGAGTGGGGGACTAGATTCCGACCCCCTCCGGCTCCCAGCAAGCCTTCGATATCTTTGGCTCCGTCCAAGGTGGCATAATTGCCGGGCTCCATGGGGCCGATGATCCGCTCATGGGGAGCCGAAGGTGGGGGTCCTAGGGGGCACCCAGCTCGCTCTCCCCACCCAGGCCAGGGGAATCTTAAGCGTTTTAAATCGCTCCCAGCTCGCACGGCGCCTGCATTCGCCTGCCTGGGCCGTCTTGACGCAAGAGACGCAGGGGCCCGAGCATAAGCGCTGATTGGCTGCGGCCTGGGGGAGAGAAGCTCATAAAATCCTCCCCGCAGAAATTGCAGGGGGAGAGGGGACCCGGAGTCCGGCTCCGCCTCTTCTCTTCTCTCCTTCTCGTTCTGTCTCTGTCTGTGTGTCTCTGTGTCCGTGCTCCTGTCTTTCTGTGTCTCTGTATGCATGCCTCTGTGTCTGTGCTTCTGTCTTTCCTTGTGTTTGTCTGCCGCTGTTCTCTCTCTCTCTCTCTCTCTCTCTCTCTCTCTCTCTCTCTCTCTCTCTCTCTCTCTCTCTCTCTCTCTCCCTGGCTCTCTGTCTTCTGCGCTTTGGCAGGTTTAACGAGAGAATAAAAAGCTCTCCCAATAAAGTGTCCATCTCCTGGTGATGGGCGGGGGGGGGGGAGTCGGGGGAAGGGCCTCCTCAGAGGATAACCCGGGAATGCTTCTGAAGAAGAGGGCGAAGGTATTGAAAACTATAGGCGTCAGGGAGTTCTTTGCTTTGGGTCATTGGTACTAGCCGCCCAGCT